AGATTTACAGAATAAATTTCTTAAAGTCAGAGATTCTATAATTAATTATTTATTTATATGATACAGTAAATATAATATAGTATATGATATAGTTGTAGTACATAGTGTAGTAATTATTAATCATTACTAAATCAGATAAATAAGTAATTTATATTAATTAATCTTATTTATAATTAATTCTATTTTTAGTTTATATTATTATTCATATTTAGTCTTATTTTTTTATTAATTTAGCCATATATATTCTTTTTTTTCTTGTTTTAATCTTGAATAACTTAATATTTTGCTAATTTTAAATTTTTTATTATCATATATTTAATATTTCTTGTGATTATTCTTTTTAAATTCTACTTATTCTTAAGTAAATTAAGTAAAATATCATATTAGAAATGATTTATAATTAGTATAGCAAGAAAATATTATATATAGAAAGTTAAGAAGTAATCAAGAAGAATAATTAAGTTTAATAAAAAGAATTAGTTACTAAGTTAAGAGTAGTTAATTAGTATTTTTTTTTAATAAATACATATTTTATCATATATATTATCTTATTTTCTTCTTGCTCTATTAAGAGAATATTTTATTAGAAGCAAATTTGAATAATTATTTTATAAAGAAGATAATTATATTTTGATTAGAAATAAACTTAAATAAATTATCTTATTGAAAAGATAATTAATTTTAGTTAGAAATAAAATATGTATATATTATCTTATTAAGAAGATAATTAATTATATAATCTCTTGAAATTATAAAAGTAAATAATTATCATGAATACAATCACTATTACTATTTTAAAATAATTATATATATATAATCTTAAAATAATAATAATATTATCTAAATTAAATCTAATATAATATATTTATCTAGATTTTTTAGATTTCAATTACTTGATAGTATATAAAAGAAATAATATTTAAATATTATTATATTAGAGATATATTTATTAAAATAATAAATTAGCTTAAATGATTTATATTAACTTTATTTTTTTAATATATTATTAAATATGATCAGATCAAGCTAAGTAATATTCTATAGATCAGAATTGACAGATTAAAAGTACTAATATTAATTAGCAATATCACGTGGCCTGAACTTTTAGGGGTCATTCTGGCAGACTTAAAAAATATAGTCAATACTTTTTAAAATACACTCTCTAAATATATACTTTCCTTAAATATATAATAGTTTGTAATCCTAATCTTGAGAATTAGTACTTAAATGCATACTTTATATTTTGTATATACAATAAATTTTGACAATTTCACTTATATAAGAAAAATTCTCTAAATATATACACATGATTTCAAGTATAAATTTAGTAAGTAATACATTATTACTATTATATATCAAATAAAATTTATAATTGATAAGATTTTGTAATATTTAATTTAGATATTTAATATCAACTATTATTATCTAATATATTAACATTAGAAGAGTTATTATTATCTATATAGACTATTCAATCAAATCACTCAATCAGATTATTCAATCAGACTATTCAATCAGATCATTTAATCAAACTATTCAATCAGATCATTTTAGTTCAAAGATTAAACAAAACTTACTATAAAGTACTATTTGATAATCAAATAGTTATTTAAAGAGATAAAATTCATAATATCATCAATTTTAAGCTTTAAAATTATAATTAATTATATACAAATATATAATATTAATTAATAAAATTATTATACTTTCAAGAATAAAGATTATTTTGACAGATATTTAAAAGTACAAATTTTGTTTGTATGTTCATCACAATTCAGAAAATCAAATAGAATATATTATATTATCTTTTTATTATATAAGGTAATATATCAAGATAATTCACATAAAAAAATCAAGATATAATATTATATCAAGAAAGTTCACACAGAAGATTTAAGATATAAGCGAAGTAATTTGAAATAGAATTTATACAGAAAACTAAATCAAAAACAGACAAGAGATTGTGTTTTAAACTTATTCTTTATTCATTATTAAAATCTTGTTAAAATTATAGAACAGATACAATATCTTTAAATAATAAATTAATGTTACATAAAATTAATAATAAGATAAATAAATTAATAATAGAAAATACTTATATGGTAGTACCTCTAGAAGATGCTTATTCAAGTATAAATAAAGAAATAAATGATTATAAATGAAATATATAAATTTAGTAATACACTAGCTAAATTAGTAAAATAAGAGAAAAGAGAAATTCTACTAAGAAACTATCTATAGTTAAAATAACTCAAAATAATTAGATGACTTTTCTTGGCATAATTAGGTGATTGTAACGTAGTAAGTCACATGTGATGCAGTATGTGATGCAGCAATGATCTGCAAAATAAAAGATAATATACTATAATTATTAATAACTAATCTAATTTTGTTACATATTAACTGAGTTAAAAATAAATAGAATATCAGAATTAATAAATTTATAGTATTATAAATTCTTCAGACAAAGGATAAATAACTTTTGATTGAGATTAATATATTAAAAGTAAAGAAATATAGATCAGTTATATTTCTGTAACTTAAATAAGTTCTTAAAGAGTTTGTATTAATATATTAATATCAAATGATATTAAGTGATATTATTTTAATCAAATATGCTAAATTATTAATAAGTAAACTGGAAATTTCTGAAGGCACATTAAATTTCTCTGTTAGTTGACTTCAGAAATTCAAAAAATATCATTTTATTTACTAAGTCAAACTTTATAAAGAAGAAGTATTTATTGATCTGATAATAGTTTTTGAGACTTTATCATAATTATATAATATATATAGTAGTTACCCTCCTAAATAAATCTATAATATGGATAAGATAGAATTTTTCTATTAGTAAATAAATATATCTTTATAAATAGTTTAATATAACAATAAATATTATATCAATCTTTATAGACTAGAGCCAGATAAAATACTAGTTACATAATATCTTGCTAGTTATAAAAAAAATAAGAAACATCTTTCCATCACTCTTTATGTAAACTCTAACAGATTATATAAATTAGATTCTTTAATTATTGACAACTATGCAAAATCATATTATTTTAAAAATATTAATCTTCATAATCTGTTAGTAATATATTAAAATAATAGTAAGACTTGAATATTTACATCTCTGTTCCAAGAGTGAATTCAAAATTTCAATAATCAAATGGTCAATAAGTATGAAAATGATCATATTCTGCTCTTCACAGATAATTATTCAAGTTATAAATTAGAAGATTTGAATATTTAGTATATTGACATACATTTTCTCTCACCTAATATAACTGTCAAGATCTAATCTATAGATAATAAAATTATAATGGCTTTTAAAAAATATTATTATTATTATCAAATTTGGTATTGTATAATATATTCTTTACTAAAATTTAAGAGAGTTTAATATTAATATCACATTTTATTTATAGTTGAATATTAAAGCAAGTTGAAGCTAGATAACAGATAAAATAATAAAAAATGGATGTTCTTCAAGCTATCTGATATATTAGTAAAGTATAGAAAGAGATTACAGCTAAAATTATTTGTCAATGCTGATAGCATATCAGAATTCTTCCTGAAAGTAATAATATTGATATACTATTATAATATAAATTTTTATATATATATTTTATTAATATTAGTTATTTTATACTCACATTTTTATTGGATAATTATTTAATTATATTTTATTAGATAATAATTAAGATAGTATTATTAATAGATATTTTTAGATAGTTTTACAAGTATAATATTTATAATAAAATTATTATAGCAAAGTTAACAAAATTATCATAGCAAAACTAGCAATACTATCATAATAAAACTGACATTATGACACTAGCAAAAGTAGCATTTAGATCATAACAAAAGTATTATTTGTAAAATTTCTAAAATGTATAAAAGTAATGTATCTTAGTTAGAAATTAAAAAGTTAATTAACAAATTAATAAAATAAAATAAATAAAATAACTTAATAATTAATAAATTAATAAATTAAATAATAATAAGATGAAATAATAATTTAAACATAATAATATTCTAAATTAATGATCTTTATTAATAATGTCTTATTTATTATTATACATTTCTTATATTATGATCCCAGATCTCATTCTAGCTGATCATGTTATGAATACACTCTTGTTACCTATCTTTAACCTTATTATAATCATAGTCTAATATCTATTACATTATATCTTTGATTATATTAGTCTCTTTCACCTGTAATTTATAATATCTTTATTATATCTTATCTTGACCAAATATTATATATAAAGTTATTAATCTATCATGAAATAACCTTTTCAAGAGATATCAAAAATGATAATAATACAGAACGTTCCAGATAATGTTTATATAATTAATAATTTAGTTCTTGATGAAATCTGCAGAGTACTCAGAAATCTTAATCTTTTAGAGTTGATGAAAATTAAAGAATTTCTGGCAATTTCCAAAGAAAATATTATTTATGAGATTCCAAATAATGATCAAATAGTTATAGAGCTTGCTGAAATTTTTAAAGAAGAGAATAGTAATGATTTAGAAAATGTAGATAATAGTACTGAAATAACTATTATTAGTGTGAGTATGACTTTAAAAAGCATGAAAACTGTACAATCATTCTTAATACAACAAGAAAATATGAAAGATCAATTAAAGCTTGCGAATATTTTAGAAAAGTATATTAGAGAAAAGAAGATTAGTTCAATGCAACAATCAAACTTAAATCAATATTTCAAATAAATTATAACATCCGGAAAATATTATAAATATTATCACGTGAACTGTTTACCACTCCGTAAGTGCACCAGCTTGCATTGTTCTCTAAATGCACGGCCTCCCGAGGTGTGCATTTAGGAAGTGTCGACTGTATGCGCTGATCGTTGGCTGTCACACAGTGGCTATGCATGTGACCCCATGTGATCCATAATTATGCTTTTATTGTCGCGTAAAAACAAAATCCTACGTAACGGTTCTTTTCGAGTTTTTTGGCACTAAATATGTTCGAAATTGAAAATTTGGACCTTCAGCATCCGAGTAAGCTTGTGTTCAACTTTCGTATGATCGTTAGAAGCATCTTTTATAACTTTGCTTTCTCTTCCTAGCATATTGGAGCCGAAACCCAAACATTTGGGGAAGTTTAAGCGATTGGGACATTTACTTTATTGATAAAGTACCTGGATGCAATAAAAGAGAAGCGCACCGATCTCTGAGTGTTGAACTTGGCATCCTTCTTGACAATCTGCCAAGAAAAAATCGTCGTTTTGTCAAAGCAAGCGCCTTGAAAAAAGCCTTGGAGGTCAGTTCATTTTTTTTTGTTATAGGTGCATATTACCATGCCCTGCAGTCGTGTTCTGAGTGATTTTCACACAAGGCAACTCGTGTTCTTGCCTGAAGTGGGAAGTATAATATAGTCTGGACTTTTTAGGTCTCATTATATTATGCGTTGGTAGCACATTTATTATTTGTTATTTTGCCTATACCCTGCAGTCGTGTTCTGAGTGATTTTTCACACAAGGCAACTCGTGGACTTGCCTGAAGTGGGGAAACATGTTATGGTCTGGGTCTTCGGGCCCCACCATAGCATGTGTGGGCATCAATTAGGTTATCTATAAGGATTCATTTAACTCTTCTTTCACTATTTTGTCAAGAACTGTGAGAACGATTCCGCGAATGATTTATTATGGAAAAATCATCTCAAGAAATTGGAATCACTTGCTATTTCGGATCGAGTACACAAAGTATGTATTGTTTTTAATATTACTAATATATTTAATGTGGCAGTATTTACTATTTCTTCTCGAATGGTTATTTTTAGCGTGAAATAAAAAGCATCGCCATACAAGAAGAAATTGGACGAGCTGAAGAACAGTTATTGGAGAAACCCCCAGAAAAACGTAAAGCCAACATAGAGGATTCAAAGGTTGAAGAAAGGGTAATCCCAGTTAAGAACACAGTCCGCTGTCTTCAGGTTGAACTAATTTTTTTGTATTTCAATATTTTAGGTTGGCGAAAAAAGACAACGGCTGACCAGGAGTATGAATAAGCAAAAAGCAGAATCTTTTACGGATCTAATAACAAATTCTGAATCTTACGGATTAGGTGATGAGAATGAAGATATTCTAGATAATGAGGTAAAGTAATTGTTTAATAATACTCGTGGTGTCTGCTCATGTTCATTATTTTAATACCGTTACCAACCCATTAGCAGACACCTTCAGTAGCTCCAAGTACCGTCGAAACAAAAGTAATTGTTGTAAGTATGCAATTCTTATCTATAGTGTACAGTTTCGGAATACATTTAATAATATCTTATTTATTTCTATAGGAATCAAATAAAAAGGCAGTCCAAGACTTGCTCGGCGTTAAATGTTCAGAAAATATGCAATTAATTTGCCAATATCACGATAAGACATACCCAGATGAAATCTTACTTGATTTACGTCCTAACTCAAGATTTACCAAGGAACTTCCCTTAAATATTTTGTCACCATATCTAAAGGAGCTCGATGATAAAATCGAGAACTTGATTCCATCACACATTCACGAATTCTTGACCCAGTTTTTTAAACAAAATTTGACGGGCGAAGATTGGCACACCAAAATTGATGATCTGCAGTGTCAAGATCGTAATGATTTGTTGATGGTATCGGTCATACGAATTTTGCGTAGAACCTTACCACCATTGTAAGTACAAATATTTTTCACTCTACCAATAAGTATGTTTTATTTATATTATTGGCTTAATTTTTTTTTAGTATTATTGCATTTTCATTGGGATCAAGAAATCCTCTTTTGAATTTGGAGACACTGGAAAAACCGCATTTAAACAATTTTGTACATCCCTGTTTACAAACTAGTTTATGGTATATCTCATCCATAAATTATGAGTTTGGAGAGATAAGAACCGAAAATCATAAAAATCAATGTGCGGACGGAGTTGGTTACTTAAATACTGCAGATAAATACCAATTGGTATATATGGAGGGTTCAAGACCAAATGCAGATGATGACAAAGAGGTTGCTGATGCATCAAAAATCGCGAACAATCTACAGAAAATTTATATAAACGTTGTGAAAGACAACATAAAGTGTAGGCGACGATTTCCCAAACTTTGCGTTTTTGGTGGGCAAAGTTATCGTCTCAGGGTTTATTTACAATTCTTGGATTATTGCGGTAAAACATTTATATTCTTGTTATTATAAACAAATATTACTTGCTCTATTGACCGTTGATAACGATAAATGTTAGGGGGGAAGTTCCGCCTTAACGAGGTGGATAATGCGAATCTCCCACGTGATTTCACGGAAATGCCGGATTTTGTTTCATTTTATGAGTGCATTATAAAGTGGGCGGTGAGTATATTGTGATTAGATCAGCATTTTTAACAAATAACTTGTATTAACAAATTAACTGTAATTTAGATGCTAGCTCGAGAAATCATGGAAGGGTTTGAAGAATCAAGGACACAAAGAGACCTTCAAGGCTCTCATATATTAGTAGTCTAAAAGTGGTGGATACCATGTAGCTCGAAAAACTAACAATATCAGTAATTTTATATATTTTATGCCACATGTGACCGTGTTATATTATCTGCACTCTTTTAATAGTATTTTTAATAATAGCCAGAATTAAAACATTTTCAGCATCGAAGTTGAGTTGGGAAAATATTGGATATGTAATAGCCAAGATAATTCGTTCTAATCAAGTGTTTTATTATCACGTGTGTACTGCGCCTGTGAACTCGAGTTCACAGTTATGCAAAAATAAAGTTAAGGTACTTTGTATCCACTCTGCGTTGTTAGTTATTTATTGCAATAGTGAATTTCCATATTTCACGAATTCGTTTATATGATGCATTAAATTTTTTAGCTAGAATCGGTAATGCATTTGCTGTATCCATATAAGTAATTATATCACTAATTGCTTCGGGGTGATAAATGAGTCGCATCTGTTCTTAATCTTTTAAACATTTTATATACACAAAAAAAGTTATATCATATTTCGGGAAATGTTAATCCGCATGTATGATGCAATTGTATGACCTGTGATTGTCGCGTATAACATGCTATATACAGTAACACCTCTATAAGTGCACGCTCTCGGGATCAGGCATGTTCGTGCACTTAGCGAGGATGTGCACTTGAAGAACAGCCAATAAAAAAATAAATATTGTTAAATAAATATAGTGACCAGAATTAAGATCGAGATTATCATATAAATTTAGATTTTATTAACTAAAATATACATCAATGTTGATTTGCCACAATAAGCTTGTTTTTTTGACTAACAAATTTTTCAATCTTTTCTATTAGTTTTATATATTCCTTTGCATTGTTCTGTTAAAAAAGAAATATATATACAGTTTCCAAGCTAGTAATCATAGAGCTAGCACTAATAACAGAATTTTTATAATTATCATCTATTTCTTCTAAATCTGCTTTCATCATTAGTATTTCTGAAGAGATATGAGTTCTTCAATAATTTAATCATCTTTAGAAATTTTGTAAATAATATTCTCTTTAGAAAAGTTAAAAAATTTTTTTACTTACATTGAATTTAGGAGATTGAGAGCTTGAAGTGCATTCACAAGATTATTAAGAACCGAGTTTTTAGATTGATATATATTTTCTAAAGTATTTTACAATTCAACAGGAAGAATCTTTGTATAATATCAGTAATTATGAATAATATTAATATTAACTTTATTTTAGGCTTGAATGATAAAATAAATTGCTTGTAAGATATTTATGTATAAGTTTTCTATATATTTATCTGTTTCTATATATTATAATATCAAGCTTTTAAAATAAAAGCAGTTAGATTTGAAAACTTATAATATATATTAAATTTAATATAAATATTTTATCATATATGAAAATAATAATAATGTTTTTTAAAGATTATAATTATTCTAACATCTAATAGTTGAATTTTTGATGTAATATTTGGAGATAAAAAATAAATATCAGTATATTATAAAATAAAACTTATTAATTTGTGACTGAAATAGTTATTAAGAAGAAGTAATACATATTAACCTTGATATTTTAGATCAACTTAATGATCAAATTTCTGAATTTATTCTTAAAAAAGTAATATAATTATTCAAGTTTTGATATTATTATGATATGTTATAGATATATTATAAATTTTTATATTTTTAAAATAGCATGATTTTTGATATTTTTCAATTATAAAAGAGTTTAATTTGTGAGAGTTATTGATATTTACATATAATATAATTAAAAGATGTTCTTTATTTATTTTATAACTAATAAGATATTTAGTAATTAAAGTTTAATCAGATTCTAATTTATAAAATAAAATATAAAGATTAATAATTAAATTTTCTTTTTTATAGAATTGAACTAACAAAACTATATTACTTAAGATTTTACTTATAAAAAAATATAGTTTTCATTTATATTATAAATTTTTTTAAGTAAATAATTAAAATAATATTCTCTTAATAAGAATAAAGTATTAATAATAATAATTTCATCTGCAAATATAGTCTCTTCTTTAAGTTTTTATTGATAAATATCATTACAATTTTTAAATTTTTAAAGCTATCTGAAAGAAAATTGTAATATATCTTGAGAAACTTTTAATTTATTAATAAGTATTTTAATCTTTTTAATAAGTATTATATTATTTAATATTATTTGATATTAGTAGTTTAGAATAAATTTCTTAAGAACAAACTCAAGTTCTGGATAGAAAACTGATTTATATCACTTTGTATCTGATTTAATTAATTTTGAATTAAGTAATTATTTTTTATTTTTAGAATATAAGAAATAATACTTTTATTAACTTTAAGTTCTTATTATTTTTTAATCTAACTGATATATTGAGTTCAAGTTTCTTTATTATTATAAGCATAAGTATAAAGAGTTTGCTTTTGTATTTTAGTAAGAGTAATTCTTTTGAAAGATATTTTTATAAGATATAATTAATCTTAATTATATTATAATCAATTATTTATTCATGTAATGTAGTAGATGTAATATAATATATGACATAGTTATAATATATAACATAGTAATTACCAATCACTACTAAATTAAATAAATAAGTAATTTATATTAATTAATCTTATTTATAATTAATTCTATTTTTAGTTTATATTATTATTCATATTTAGCCTTATTCTTTTATTAATTTAACTATATATATCATATCTAATTTATAATTTTATTAAATTAATAATTTTCTAATTAATTATTATTAATTTTCTTTCTTTTCTTGCTTTAGCTTTAAATAACTTAATATTTTGCTAATTTTAAATTCTCTATTATCATATATTTAATATTTCTTGTGATTATTCTTTTTAATTTTACTTGTTCTTGAGTAAATTAAGTGAAATATCATGTTAAAAATGATTTGTAATTAGTATAACAAGAAAATATTATATATAAAAAATCAAGAAGTAATCAAAAAAGATAATTAAGTTTGATAAAAGTAATTAGCTACTGAATTAGAAGTAGTTAATTAGTATTTTTCTTTAATAAAAATATAGATATTTTATCTTATATCTTATCTTAATTTCTTTTGGCTCTATTAAGAAAGCATTTTGATTAGAAATAAATTTACATAAATTATCTTATTGAGAAGATAATTAATTTTAGTTAGAAATAAAATATGTATATATTATCTTATTGAGAAGATAATTAGTTATATAATTTCTTGAAACTATAAAAGTAAATAATTATCATGAACATAATTATTATTATTATTTTAAAATAATTATATATGTATAATCTTAAAATCATAATAATATAATAATATGATAAATACAAGATATAAATTTATATATTATATACATAATATATTTTTCAGATTAATACTAATTTAATTTAATTTTTAATATTATAATAGATTAATAATATATGTTATTATATTTATAATAATTATATTTTTATCAAATATTATAGAGATACTTATAAATAGTAATTTCTAATTGATTATTATTATAAAATTATTACATATATATATTTATAAAAGATATTTTAATATATATAGAATTTAAAATTACTTATATATACAAAATATAGAAAGTATATACTTAGCTCTAAGTTTTAAGCTTAGAACCAGACTATAATATACATATAAAGAGAGTATATACTTATAGAGGATATATTTATAAAGATATTACTATAATTCAAATCTGATTAACTAACTTGTAATATATATATTTCTCAATATTATTTTTTAATTCTCAGTTATTATCTTCTTTATTATTTCATTCATTTTCTATAGTATTATTATCACTATTCAATTTCTTAACAATATCTAACTTCATCTCATCTTTCAAAAACTCTTCCACATTCTCGCTTATATTATTAATTTTTCTACTAAAAAAATTTCTTGCATTATCACTAGTTTTATTAACTAATGATCTCTTTATTATTTCAGAGATTACAAATCTTTCTCTTTTATTTTATCCATGTTGCTGAACAACACATTTAGCTTTGCTAGAATATGATATTAGTTGAAAAAAAAATAAATTCATAATGATCATTGACACATGTATATATGCTTATCGGGAAAGTCCGGAATTATCATAATGTGGTCACATGATCACCTATCGGAATTTCACGGGAGATGAGTCCGAAATTTTAATTTTATTAATAAAACTCCTAACTTTTAAAACCTTATAACACAAAATAATTTTAATAAATCATAAATATGAAACTCAAATGGCCATTCTATTATAAATATGGTGTTAAATTGTTATTTTATCATTATGTATAAAGTTATAAGATCTCAAAATTGACTAAAATTTTGACGGCTATAAGTGATCTGCACCATACCGTTCATGAAACCTATTTACTACACTATAAAAGTTTGGTTCTAAAATCTAAAAATGCGATAAAATAATGTTGATTATTTGATTTTTGGTTATTCGGTCTCCTAAGTGTCATTATAATTAGCAAAATCGAATTCTTAATTAATATTGTTAAATTAAAAGATCCATTGCTCAAAGTTACATCATATATTATTACATGTAAATAAAAAAGAATCATCATTAAAATCTATCAATATCAAAAAAAGTTAAACCACTAAATTTAATATAATATCATTAATAATTCTTTTGTTTGCCTTTATTTTTTATATTCACCCTTTCCTGCTTATATTTTTCGAATAATGCCTTGACCAAAAATTCCCCTAAAGCGAACGCCAACGGAGGTGGTACCGCGTTTCCAATTTGACGATGAAGGTCTTTCATATCACCACGATCGCTGTAAAATATGAAATCATCCGGAAATCCTTGAGCACGTGCACATTCACGCACAGTGAGTATGCGCCGTTGATTTGGATGTAATACCGTCTTTAAACAATAAATTAATACATTTTGAATGATGTAAAAAGAACACTAGGTTATGTTAAATGTATAACTTACTCCAGTTTTTCCCATAGGATTTACGTCAGTTAATGCTGTAGAAAAGTGACCATTAAAGTCAAGTCTTCCGAATAAGCCCTTCCAACCATTGTGTCGACTTGCGGCTGAATTCGGATCACTCAAACACCATGGTTTTAGTCTCTCTGGCAAATCTGTAATAATTTTAAAAAAATAAAAATAATCAGCTTTTTTATTCTACAAGTTTAAACAAAATCCAATGAATAAATTACCATGATGGTCGGCACCGGGTATTAAGGGAACTCTATAAATGCGCTCAACATTAAGAGATAGAAAAGTTCTGGTCACATGATTATATAATTTTTTAGCTTTCTTACGACACTGTCTCTGAAACTCTGACAATGGCTCTGATTCATATTCACGTTCTGCCTCGCCAACGCAGCCAACTTTTGGAACTCTAAGTTGTTTCCACTTTGGTTTCTCGTTCTTTTCTTCTTCAGTTGCAGGATATACTTCATGTGGATTAACGTATTCAAATTCTGGAAGATCGTTGATTGCTTCACCAACAGTGATACCACGATGCGGCGCAAATCCATTTGTGCGTAGATTATAATGAAAACTACCACCATCCGGTAGCGGAATCGAAATTGATCCTCGTTGAGCGAAGCAAGTTGAGGGCTGTGGAAAGTCTGGGAGATTGTGACCGATTTTTGTTCCCCAAATGAACAGTCGTCGTCGACTTTGTGGAACTTCATGATTGCCCGCTTGTTGAACGCTAAATCTAGCTTGATATCTACAAATAAAAATATGAACATGTAAAAAAAGAGTAGATTATACAGTGCGAAGTTCTTTAGCAATATATTACCCCATGGCGGTCAAAGCTCTTAAAATGAATTTCACTACTCCCATTGATATCCCTCCTTTTATTTTCGTTTTTCCATCTTGTTCGCCGCCCAATCTAAAAGCTATCATACCCCGCACATTCTCAAGCAAGAAATATTCTGGCCTATAGAAGTCGACATAACTGAGTGCCGTTGCCACTAACGAATTTTTGATATCATCCGCTTTCTTATATCGATTCACTCCACTGAACCCTTGACTAAGAGAAAAAGAAGGAAGCATTTAGAACGAATGGATTATACTGTGTATACATGTATACATATAGAGTAATTTTACTCACCATGGAGGCCCACAGTAAATGAATTGAACTTCGCCTTTAGCAGGCATGGCTTCTACTAGTTTACCCTGAAAATCCTCAAGCTCACCTAATTCCTCTTGATTATGTTGAGCTATTGCTCTCTCTAACAACAAATTCGCACATTGATTGTATGTGGTGGCTTGTGGATGATTTTTTCTATTTAAGAAAGCATTAATTGAGATTTTTAATATTGAAGCTCAAAATATCAATTTACTTACTTGAAAGTTAATGCTGCACTCGGTGCAAATTCAATTGCCCAACGCGTATCAACTACGCCAGTTTTTTCCATTCCCACCGTTATGCCTCCGCAACCAGAAAATATATCCATAGCACGCAAGGTATGCCCATTCTGGATAAATTGCATAAATTCAACTAGTTCCGTTTTATGATTCTGTCTTTTTTCAAGACATATTTGGCAGAGATGAATCTCGGTTTTATCGATTTCTTGTAAATCTAGATGTTTACGACCAGGTTTGTTCATTTGATCCTTAACGTAGAATGTATCCCTTTCGTCCTTGTAAGCATCAAAATCATAGATAGTGTCAGAGTGTTCCACCCAACATACACCTTCAAGTTTATCGACAGATATCAATGTCTTTTCTGATGTGAATACTAATTTTCTCGTATCTTTAATCTCTTTCTTCTCGTATATCTCTGCATTTGTTGAACTTTCTGTCGAATTTGTTTCATTGGTCAGACTTTTCTTTGAATATTTTGACTCAAGAAGATCATCATAACGCACAAGATGACGCACAGTCAATTTGATATTTGCAGTTTGATCATCTGCATCATTCTCATCGTCGTTTTCAGGTCGTTTAATTATTTTCTTTTTTTTAAAGTAATTCAATATACCCGAAGGCGTTGCATCGTTGTCAAATATTTCGACGATTTGGGCTATCTCATATGGAGATGCCTGATGTGACACATCGGGAATCAAATAAACGAAATCGTGTAAATGATATTCTACACCTTTATATACAATACCATTTGCGGTGTCCTCAGGAGAAATCCACCTTGCCTTTTTATTCAATTTTTTTGCCCAGTGATGCTCACAGGCGTAACAATAATCGAGCAGATTTTTGATGTCGTTTGCAGGTTCTTTCAATCTTGCATCAATAAAAGCAGGCCTTTCTTCGTCATACCAAAATCTAGTATAAAAGGATATCTTTAATATTTAGATTAGTAAATAATCACTCTTATTCTTATCAAACTTACCGATAATAATAACTGTCATTACTTTCATTTTTCTCATTCAGATTATCTCTCTCTTCCTTTGATAAAGTTTCCGAAGTATCGACCCGTTTTACATTTGCTTTTTTCATAATGGACGCCAACGGATTATCAGCGCATTGATCCAATAAAAAAAGTTCATGAGCACCAGCCAATTCTTTTAAAATTGTTTCTCTTCCACGACTAAAGAAACGCGAATGAAACATTTTGCCTTCTTCTGGATCATTAAACATATAAATCACTTTGGCGAACCATGGTTCGTTCGATTCGTCATTACGAACGTATACAATATCGCCTACACTTATTATCTCATCGTCGATTCTAACGGAGCTGTAGTAGGTAAGCCCATGTTCAGCCCCGATTTTTTCGATCCAATCAATCTTGTCGGTAGTTTCTTTTTCAATGTTAATTAAGTGATCATTATCCGAAATATCTTCCAGCTTATTGTCGGTTACTCCATTTATTTGCGGGGCAGTTACAAGTTTGCGAACAAATAATCCTTTTGTAAGATCTCGTATAAATGGAGTGACGCATGTTGGATTCGTATGTCGAAGTACAGCTGTATTCGAGTTCTTTAAGCTGACATTTCGTTTTGTTCTTCGCATATCGGTATCTGCAGTACTGTGTTTTGATCTTTTCGAACCTGGTTTCTTATCTAATATTTTTTGCAAAGTTATGAATAGTGGGCAGTCAAATATTTTCCAGTTTTCTTCTTCTTGCGTTTCAAGCTCTCCCATCCACGCGTTAATTTCTTCACAAATATAGGATATTTCTGAGGTGATGTCATTCTCATTAAAGGTTATACTCAACTCAAATTCATTGTTGTCATTCGAGCTGCTTGAAGGTGGCGATTTTAATGAATCTAGAAATGCTCCATAAGTAATATCAGGACTTGCCGCCATCGCTTGAATAATAAGATTTGCAAGTCGAATTTTTTTAAACAAGGGAGTAAAGCAAGATTTGTAGGCATCTGAAGGATTCACTAATTTGTACCAAGAGAATTCTGTACGGAGCCATATCTCGCTATATAAAAGTACATACAAATTATGAATATTATGCCTAATCTCAAAAAAATAAATTTTGACATAATGTTATACCTTTGACCAGATTGACTGTACTCAATCTGATAATAAAAAATTGTACTCAAACTAACGCGAATTTTATCCATATCTTGTTTAGAACTATCACCCTCATCGTCGTCATCGTCATCTTCATCATAAATGTCTTCATCAGAATACATCGGTCTTACCAAGCCAGATGCGCGAAGTTCACATTCTAAATTGTCATATGCATCTAAATTGATTATTTTATTGTCATTCCGTACATCATAAAAGATAAAGTCGTCGAGGTAACGGCAGGGTAATGATTCATCTCTTTCTGGTTTAACGTCGCTCATTAATGGGTCTTCAAAGTTCTCGGGTATTTCATCATTCCCAACTAAATCTTCACCGATTAACTCGAATTCAGATGTTTCAGGGACTTCCTTTGGATCTATTTCGTATCGTTTCGTTTTCTTCTTAGCAGCTAATTTTTAAAGAGAAACGAATGTAATTAATGAGCAAGAAAAACAAGTTAAACGCATTGCTCACATTTCACAACAAATTAATAAATTATCTGTAATAAAATACCTTTTGGTTTCTTTGCTTTGGAACGTGACGAGACTACAGAATATGAATAGTTGTCCACTTTTCGCTTCAACCGAGTAGAAGAACGCGTCGTGGCGACTCTAGAAGTTGACGCAATTGGAATTTCCGTTTCAAACGCGTCGTCTTCGGAAGAACGCGATGTGGTTGTCTCGCAAAATGTAATGTCCATTGGCTCAAGTTCAACATAGTTATTATTGTTGGTCCTCGGGTCAATTTCCATTTCTATAGCTTTTGACATGTTTTTTTATTAGCAAAAATTTATTCCTAAAAAACGCGCTTTTCACTTAAAAAAGAGAGACGCGCGTAAGAAATGTGCGACCAATGTTTCAATGATGTAGACTAGAACGTGATAATGACTGTAATTGGTCAAAGGTGACTCCAACGTATAAAATAATTTATCTATCTTCGATATAGAATACATATACAAAGATAGCGACAACATTTTTCTTTCTGAACACTATATGCCTATTTCTTTGGATAGTTCTCATAGCGTATCTCGCGGGAATTAGTTCTGAAAACTGGTCATATGTAGATTTTTTAAAACTAAACCGTGATATCTTGCCACCATTCTCAAATGACTACAACGGAATTGATAGTGCATGGGTTACAAGATTTTTGGGAACTGTGGAAGAACTAAGTCCAACGTTATACAATGCTGTAAAAAAGAGGTAAAATCGTTTCAATTTAATTAGCGAAAAGAGAGCTCTTGATCAGTTTCCTAACTGTTGCAGGAGTATCAGTATCCTACCTTCGCGTCTCGTCTATTGGTTATTGAGGTTTTGGATCAATGAAACATGTAACTTTCTAATATCTATTCTATTTAGTGACATATTGTTTTATTAATACATTCCTTCTGATGAAACTTCCGTAATCTTTATTATAGCTTATGCTTAGGAAATATTCTCGTTGCTGAAGTCTCGAACTACTAAGTACGGCAAGCAAATTCAATCATAGAAAGTTCACGAAGATTACAAAGATCAGATGAAGTCCTTGTGCGATAAGTGGTCTCTCGAAGTAATTGCCAAAAAGGTTTGCACAGATAATAATAATTCTATATAAATATCTCTTCTCAACCCTTTTTTAGCTTGTGAAGATTAAAGTCACCCACAATTAGCAAGAAAAAATTATCACCAGGAAGAAAGATAGGATAGCTTCATTTTTTTTGTTTGCAAAAACATAAGTAATTTGAATTAATTTCTTCTAGAGAGATACAGTCATCACAAAAGTAATGCCCGATTTTTTTTTAAAGATTAAATTTCGGATACATATCCAATTTATTTTATTTCTGTCTTATATATATATAAATATTCTTTATTACTAGCTAATACATTATTAGCTCTTCATATGACTTTAATATTGTTTTGATTTCTCAAGGCATTAAGTCTATAATCTTTTCAAACCAACGCATTGCATTTTGATCATGCTTTTTTCAGAGTAGTCTTGAGCTTTTTCATGATTCTTGAAAGCTTTTACATTTGAATATTATTCTTTAATGACTTGCAAATCTTTTTATGAAATTGCAAGAATATAATAATTATTAGTTTTCTTTATTTAATTCTATTTTATAACTTCAAGTATTATTTTTTTGAAACATTAAATCAATGAATAAATTATATTATGAGATTATTTTTAGAGAATTTTTAGATAAGTTTTTGATATAAATTTTTTTTATTAATATCATGAAATAATTCAGAATATCTTTTTTGACTTTTTTTTCTTGATTATTAAGAGTTTATAATCTTTTAAATAGTAATAATTTTTATTTTTATACTTAATAAGAGATTATTATATTATTATTAATTATAATATATTTTTCTTGTAACTTGCTTGATATTTATAATTTAATAAAAATTATTATTTATTCTTAATAAATATTATATTTATCTAGTATATATTTAAAAAAATATAATATAATCTGATATAAAAAGATTAATAAATCAATATAAAATTAAGAATTAGTTTTAATAAAAATCATTATTAATCTTTATAATTTTTTATATTAAATAAAGAATGATCTAATTTTAATTTAATAATAAATAAAGTACTATTACCGTAGTGACATAAAATTCCTTAATTCCTTAATTTTTCTCTAGTTATGAAATATTACATTTTATTATAGTTTTATTTATTTTATAATTATCCTTGTCATTTATTACTATATTTATTATCACATTTCTATTTTTGATACTATATTTTATTTGGGATCTATATTTTTATTATTTTGTATTATGATATTCATGTACATAGTAGAATAGTGTAGTGGAAAACTATTTTTAATTTTGGTGG